CAACTTTTCTCCTTCTTCTATCCACTTAACTTTTCTTCTCACAAACAGACCTTTAATATATTCTTTTCATATATCTTCCTAATTTCTTTCTGAATGTTCCAACTTTTTCTATAATTTCAGGTGAATAATCAGTATTTCGATTACTTTCTAATTGAGATATTTCTTTTTCTAATTTTTTGACTTTATTTTCTTTCTCTTTGTTTCTTTCTTGAACAATAACTAATTGTAGCCCCTCTTATGCTTAAAAGTAATTGCTCAAAAAATTGTTGGTCGTCAATTTGGAAAGAAAGCATTTAATTTTCTATATCATTAATAGCAATAGGATTGTAAGGAGAGGCCACATATTGTTTTTTAAGTATGATAATTATGTCCTTTACAAGCTCAATATATTTCTTATCTGTAAGCAAGGAATTGTTAAATTTCGAAAATCCTTTCCCTTTCACAAAATTTGAAAAAGATATAAACAGCTCAACAATAGAATGGTCTGATCTGATCTGATATAACTTACCTGTAGCTAGCATGTCACATTAGACTAATGGTTGGTACTGATCAGTCTGTAGTGGTCCTTTAGTGTGTTATAACCTACCTGTAGCCAGCGTGTCACACTAGGTTGGTGTTTAGTACTGATCAGTCTGTAGTGGTCCTTTAGTGTGTTATAACTTACCTGTAGCTAGCGCGTCACACTAGGCTGGTGTTTAGTATTGATCAGTCTGTATAGTGATCCTTAAGTGTGATATAACTTATCTGTAGCCACCGTGTGACACTAGGCTGGTGTTTAGTATTGATCAGTCTGTAGTGATCCTTTAGTGTGTTATAACTTTCCTGAAGCCAGCGTGTGACACTAGGCTGGTGTTTAGTACTGATCAGTCGGCAGTGGTCCTTTAGTGTGTTATAACTTACCTGTAGCCAGCATGTCACACTAGGCTGGTGTTTAGTACTGATCAGTCTGTAATGATCCTTTAGTGTGTTCAAACTTACCTGTAGCCAGCGTGTGACACTAGGTTGGTGTTTAGTACTGATCAGTCGTAAGTGGTCCTTTAGTGTGTTATAACTTACCTGTAGCCAGCATGTCACACTAGGCTGGTGTTTAGTACTGATCAGTCTGTAATGATCCTTTAGTGTGTTCAAACTTACCTGTAGCCAGCGTGTGACACTAGGTTGGTGTTTAGTACTGATCAGTCGTAAGTGGTCCTTTAGTGTGTTATAACTTACATGTAGCCAGCGTGTATACTTACATAAGCTCAAGAGTTTGATTGTTCAAACTTACAGAATCAGCCGAGGTTTGTAGTTGTCTTTGGAAAAGTAATTATATTCATATATTTTATACTTACGATAGAATAATTTTCTTTTTTATTCTTAGATAAATATAAAATAGAAGGGGGGGGGGTTATGAGATGTAAGTGTTTTCCTTTAATCAAAGTAGGTGTGATAGATAATTGTTAAATTTTAAACAAATTCTTTCTTAAGATCTAATATTTTTATTATAGATATGATGGATAATTATTTCAGTTCAATCTGATCAGTCTGAACTTATACATCTTTGTCTTGTCTAAAATACCCAATATTCCTTCTCAAGATCTTATGTTTACGAGTACTATCGTACAAGTACTCTTGATCTTATATATTAACAAGTGTATATTATAACTGAATTTATTCGTACAAGTACACACGATCTTCTATTTACAAGTGTATATTTTAACTGAATTTTATCGTACTAGTTCTCACGATCTTCTATTTACAAGTGTATATTATAACTGAATTTTATCGTACTGGTACACACGATCTTCTATTTACAAGTGTATATTATAACTTAATTTTATCGTACTGGTACACACGATCTTCTATTTACAAGTGTATATTATAACTTAATTTCATCGTACTGGTACACACGATCTTCTATTTACAAGTGTATATTATAACTGAATTTTATTGTACTAGTACTAACGATCTTAAATTAAAAAGTGTATATTATAACTGAATTTTATCGTACTAGTACCTGTCTTTTGTATTGTTTCTCCGACGATCTGGAGCATCTGAGAAGGGTGAAGGGTGGATAATGAAATATCAAAGAGAATTTGTCATAATTGAGATTTGATTTTTTACTTTTTTATTTGTCGCACAATAGGCATTTCGCTCGCCTTGTTCGCCCATCTTCTTTATATCGAAGATAGAAGCTGCATATTGAAATATACAATATATATAATCAATACATTTATGTATATATTTTTTTCAATATGCAATTCTTTAAGATATTAATAGAGTTTCTTAACAATAAAAATGAAGCAAACATTTCTTTGATTACTTTGCAATGATTCGCTTTATCATGTTATTCAGAATAACCGAGTGAACATTTTGAAACAAACAGAAAATTCTTTTTATATAAGTTGCTGTGACTTCTAACATTTCAAATTATTGAAATAATATATCAGGACAGACACAATCAATACATATACTTTAACTCATATTACATTTTAATGACCTTAAATAATGTATGTACCTATATATAAATAGTACATGAAATCGATTAAATACATTATCTTGTACGATCTATAGAGGAAATCCATTTCAGAAGCAATGTACACGTGAGTCTTACTTTCTTACATTTAATATTGTCAATTATTATACCTCTGTGATTTTTTTCTACATAAAAGTATGACAAATAAATCTTCTATTTTTTTCGAAACAGCTCCTACCGTGGAATAAGTTTTTGTGCTATTTGCACATGGTGAAATAGTAATCAAACTATACACTGGAAGCATTCAATTTTGCTCGTTTTTCATCTCAAAACGATACGGGTTGTTGTATTGTTACGTAACTGGTTTGTGACGTAACAAAAGTAAAGTCGGCTTCGGTATAATAAAACACCTATTTACTGACTATTCGGACAATAGCAAGATTATCGTCCCCCTCGAGAGCAACTATTTGCCTCGGCTGCGCCTCGGGAAATACTCGCTGTCTTCGGGGACGGTAAACTTGCTATTGTCCTCATAGTCAGTAAATAGGTGAATATAGAGGATATTCAATGTTTTGTAGATGAATATGGAATTTATTTCACGAGTGGGACAGGATTTTTTGATATTTTCACGAGTGCGAAGCACGAGTGAAAATTAAAAAAAAATCCTGTCTCACGAGTGAAATAAATTCCATATTCATCTACAAAACATTGAATTTTCTGTTTATTACATTTTATTAGATTTTCCCTTTGCTTCTGTCTTTTCGTAACACAGTGCCATAGATTGTGACGTCATAGTTGAGCAGTTGATACGTCATAGCTAAGTGATTGCGACTTTCAAAAATGTTGTAAACATGGATTTTTAAGGAAATATTTCGAAAAACTTTGGCAGTATAACTATTAGTTTCTGTCAGGATGGCTCATCAACTCTTCGTGAAGGGGGGGGGGGGAGATTTGCCGCACTTTTGATATTCTCACACTGTGAGAATACTATTTTGATATCCTTTCACACTGTGGCAGAATATCACTTTTATTCAGTAAATAGATTACAGTATTTCATTGTTGAAAATGTAATATATATATATATATATATATATATATATATATATATATATATATATATATATATATATATATATATATATATATATATACTTTCTTCTTTGATTTTAACAGTATTTGAAGTTCACTACTTGCTTGATTTGTAAAACTAATTTTTTAAATATTGAACATTTTTAATAGACCACTGACGAATTTGTATATTTTAACAGATTACAGTTATTGAAGCTGATTCTTGCAAGTTTCCTGCTATCTGGAGTAAATGCAGAAGCAGGCACAAAAGATTTCCTCAAGAAATTCAATACATATAATGAAGTATGTCGAGGAATGGGCTTCAAGGGAGAAAATTGTAAAGGACGCGAAAGAGGTAACATGCTTGTCAATAAACAAAATGATGTACAGGCGCGTAGCATTGGTTGGGGGGGGGGGGGCTCACTTTTTTTTCTCCAAACATTACTTTTTACTGAAAATGTTCATTAAAGGTTGTTTATCCCCCTTTTTATTGAAGTAAGGTATTTCAGAGTATTGAGTTAATGTACGAATAGAATTTGATTTTGAAAAAAAGTTGGAACCTAACCCCCACCCATCCACCCCACCCCCCAACAAGACGTTTGGACGATTTTCTTTCTTTCTTTTTTGTCCATTTTTTTTTTCAGGTAAAATAAAAAACATTCTCTGCCCCCTGATGATACTACATGTACCTGCCTGATGTGTGAATAGTTATATTTCTAATCTACTTAAAAAATAAATAAACTGAGAATTAGAAACATTGTGCAAATCTAGGTTTTTAATCTCATTTCTTATTTATTATCAAATCGTTATTTCAAATTCGTTAATCATATTATTTCAAATCGTCTGAAAAAGCAAAATTTAGTTTTAAGATTGTCTGGAAAAAAAATGTAGTTCACTTGTAAAGAAACTGCATGATACAATTATCCACAATAGTATATTTTTTTCCAATAGCAATAATCTCCTTTCAATGTGAATTCACTCTAATGAATTGAACTTACATAAATATTCTTGTAATTCAACAACAACGACTTTCCTATAACATCATACCAAACATCTGAGTTTGCTAACAAGGCACGAGCTCTGTTATAGTTGCCTTCTGCTTTGGCAAAAGCGAGGGGACATTAAATCTTTGATCAAAAGTATGATTTGGTTATGATACAAGTTAGAACCGATCCCTACCACCAACAATCCCAACACGAAGTTGGGACGACTTTTTTTGTAAATTTTTCAAGTGAGGTAAAATAAAAATTTTCTCTGGTTCCCCCACTTTCAAAAACGATACTACGGACTTTATGTGTGAAGAGTGATTACCAGTTTATCTATAACATAATTAAAAAAAATTAATAATAAACTGAGAATCAAACCTAGTGCAAAATTTCTAGCTTTTTCTCTCTTTTTTTAAAATCTAATATTTTGAAAATGTACTAGTAGTTAACTTGTAATTAAACTGCATGACACAATTATTTTCTTCCAACAGCAATAATCTCATTTCATGCCCGAATGACAAGTGATCAACAGAACCTCGGAAATAATGCCGTAGTTGTATTTGGAAAAGTTACAGAAAATTCTGGATCTGCCTACAATGGTAACGCAGGGAAATTCACGGCACCTGAGGATGGAATCTACTCATTTACATGGACCATTTTGACAAAACCTGGAAAGATATTTATCACAAATATTGTTGTCAATGATACTAGCAATATCGTTGGATACAACTATGTCAACGGAAGGGGTGGGAGTCATACTTTTCCAACAGGATCCGTCACAACAATTATAAAAATGAAGAAAAATGACAAGGTCTGGATAAGAGCGGATGGAAAACATGGTGAATACGCTTATGGTAACTGGTCCTCGTTTTCTGGTTTTAAACTGTCATGATTTTTAACGAAATAAAAAAATATATACTTCTAAAGAATTCCAGTAAACGTTAACTTTATATCAAATGAGCAGTGTTTTAAATTGTAAAACTAACAATATATTAAGATTAACCTTTTTTTTTTATAATTTAATTAGGAAAATTGGGTTTGTCTGCCAATGAGAATTTTAAGAAAGTTGAAAACATTATTATAAAAAGAAACCAATCTATAATTAAAATTAGATCTTTGAAACTGACAAAGAGAGTGCATACATATGGGCTGATCTGTCTTTACATCTTGGGCAGATGGATCCGAAGTGTCATTAGACCTAAATGTCCATTATTCAGGCGACTGGGGTGTCGTCGAGAGTCCAGATGTCTGTCATTCAATTCGGTGTGTGTTCATATCCGACTTATACAAATATTCGACAAAGTGCATGACTTTAGACCCTCGAAATGTTTGGTTTAACATGGTCACACGTAATTATAACTTATAATTATAACCAGTATTCAGTTTTGTCCAAATAAGAAGGATGTACCGTCGTTTTACCACGGAATATTTGCCAGTACGCCTATAAATAATTTTTTATTTAAGGATAAATTACACAAACTTTTACACAAACTTTTTTCTTCCAAATTCAAATACCTTTGCTAAAATATGCGCTTCTCTTCCTCTAGAAATGATATTTGTTTAGTTAAACAGCTTAATGTTTGGCCAAGCCACATAATTTGGTGAAAAGTGCAAAAATGCAACTTTACAGCTCAATTTATTTTTTGAAAAGTTTAAGAAATGTATGAAGTTTTTCTAATGCAGAGTTTCTGGGGATATTTTCAAGATTTGATTTTACATTTTACATAGTTAAAATTTCTTAATTACATTTCCATTGAAAGAAATATTGAAAAAATACCAGTGAAACTCGTCTGTGTGGGAGATAAAAAAATTTGTTTGTGGTGTGTATCTTTAAATATCCTTGAAAAACACAGTGACAAGTTTAAAGGGGCCTGGACACATACAGTTGAATTGTTTGCAACTTTAAATTTCTGTTTTATTTAAAAAAGAGAGAGAGAGAGAGAAAAAAAAACTTCAATTTAATTAACTAAGATTAATAAATATTCTAAGAATTCAACGACAACGATAGTATTCTTTACAACATTTTGTCAAACATCCTCAAACCTGTGTTTGTTAACAGGGCACGAGCTCTGTTATTGTTAGTGTTTACGTTTCATCGGATGTGTTCAATTAATTTACTCTGCACACATCCCTGACTATGGACTGACATTAATGGTGAATTGTTTTTGTTTTCTCGCATTTCTACTCGATCTAGATTTTCTGGATTACGGTTTTAATTTCTCATAAATACACAATAAAATATTTAATTTTTCTTAAGCATGAAGGAAAAAGTTCACTTCGTGAAAGTGCAAGGGTGCAAGTGCAAGTGCAAGTGACAACCAAACACCTCCCGAAATTCGTAGTTTTATTAATTTCCTTATAAAAGGAGTTTCTATACATGACTTTATTATATTTCGGTGTGAAGTGCTCTAGCAACATATTTGTAGTGGTTATATACCGAAAAAATTATAAAATATTTACTAATCTTCAATCTGTCTAATTCCCCTTTTTTACTTACTAGGTAAGTATAATAAAAGGATGAATATTCTACCCCTCTGTAGAGTCATTGCAACACCTGCCTGATTATTTTCTACAGTATTCATAGGCGTCGGAAGCAAATTAAAAGTGAGCGAGGGTCTAATCCAACAAAAAATTTTCAGGTAAAAAAAAATTCATACCACATGTTTATCATTTTTATAAATAAACACAGTCACATTTAAATTATATAAATATAAAGTATTTAAAGCTGAATACTACTCATAAATAGGCACTGTCATACAGGCATATAAACACTTTGATTTCGTTACACCCGATTACACACTTGAAACTCGTGAACAGGTCTGCGGCTTATATAGGGGTTGTTAGGAAAGCGGCGATGAAAGGGAAATATGGCGGACAATGCCTTTTACGAGTAGTGTTCAGTTTTAAGTGCCTACCACATATCTTGGTTAAATAAGAAAACATGATGAACTATACATACATATCAACTGATATACTATCCTCATTAAAAGTCTTTGATATCAAATATGTTGCACAGACTTTGCCTAGAACATCAATACACTTGTTTTATTCTCATAAAAATAGATATAGGTCTAGATCACAGTTAGCAATAAGGCATTCTGGTCTCCATTTCTGAAGAGTAAATTTAAAGAATAGTTGAACTGGTTACCAAATCTGTCCCGTATTCTTTTGTATGCAAGGTTATCCATTACATTGTTCACTCTTTTTAAAGCAGTCCTACAATATCATTTACAGAAAAAAATTAATAAAATCCGAATATTTATTAACAACAGTTACACACTAGAATCATTATATTTCCTGAGGGTTCAATGTATTTGGATTTCTAGTTAGGAACTTACAATCTCAGTGTGACAGATGTAGTGACAGCGATATTATAATTACGATGTTTTAACTTTTAACTGTATCACTTGAATACATTTTTTTAAATTGTGTTTTGATATGACCCCCGATTGCTGTCAGACGATGTGCATTGTCAAATACAAGTTATTTTCTTCGCTATTTAAGACTTCAATGCTGATAAGATGTTGAACTAATTGTTATCTATAGTTTCCTATATTGTTTAGGAGATCGCATAATTAAAACAGTGTTTATTTAGCTATTATTCGGTAAATATTGTTACCTGATATGTTTGCATGGTTGTTATTCCGGAAGTGCGATTTCCCATAATGCATTATTTTTAAGATGTGAAAAGTTGTAAGCGGCGATTTATTTAATTATTTCGAAATTTACTTTGTTCATAAAGTAGTTATAATATTTTCCTTGTTTCTATTTTCTGGTGAAACATGTGCACACTTTTTCGTTGCCGTGGGAATTGGGGTATCGCGTATCGCCTGTAATTGGTTGATGATCAGGTGCGCGATGTTTCTGATTAGTGAACGTATTTTACGTCATTTCGTAGTATTTAATGACGTATCTATAGTAAGAACGCGGAGTTGCAGCGTTTGAACATTAGGATACACCACTGTATCAAGGTGTGTGTTTTAGTTCTTTAGGTTAATAGTTTGATAATATTAAGTGGTGTGGGGGAAAACTTTATTCAGAGATTGAATAATATTTATTTACCAGTATATTACTGGTTTAGATTTTCAAGTTTACTGGTTTATTACCAGTTTGGGATTATACTTAGGATTACCAGGATTTTTATTAGGTCTAAAAGAGTTAGACTTGCACATGAATTATTATTACTGGATAAGACTCCAGTTATAGAGGTTTTTATTAATTTATGAAACACCAGAGATTTTGTGAATATTGAACAGTATTGTTTTGTTTCTGTGTCCTGTGAAATAAATTCATAAACTTTCAATGGAGTTCTTGACTTGTTGAAAACAGTCCAGTTAGCGCATCCGCACGTTACACTCAGCAAAGATATACATTCCATATTATTATCTTTCATAGTGAGAAAGACACTTGCCAACAAAATTAAGTCCTCAGAAACGTACACTTCTAAAAATTTACAAACTTAAACCCCATGACTCATATGATTCCACAGTTTTATGCAAAGCCGAACAGTAACTGTACATGCCTATGGGTTTAATTAATGTTTCTAACATTGCTTGATACAAATTCTTCCTTTTCACTATATAAGAATTAAAAACAAAAAAATACTCGAAATCTACACTGTAAGGAAGAAAATGAGGAAGATTCTTATGTGTGGAGTTCCATACCAAAAGGTATATTCTAAACCAGTCAACAAAAGAAATCTACTACTGCATTCTCACGAAGAGTTAGTGATCTGTTTGATTTTTTTCTGGTTAAATATTAGAATACGTTAAATCTTGTTGAATAATGTACTTGTAATTATTGTTTATACGAGGGTTGTCCCAAAAAAAAACAAGAACATTTTCAATATCTTTTGTTTCACTAATATTATAAAGTTAAAAATGTGCATGCATCAAAATTAACAGTTTTGAAATAATTCACAGAAATTTCAGTAAAATATCTCTGTAAATAACATTTTTCTCTTTGGTAAACGAATCTTGCAAAAAAGCTGCCGGTGCAACAACACCGATGACGTCAAAACGTAGCTTTTACTATGTATAAACCTGTGATTGATATATGCACTGTGTCGTTTCCTCGTTCGCAGCTCTTTTCCTTATGAACAGGAGTCAAACCCCGCTCCACACAACTCTGAGTGAAAATTTGGTGCACCGCATTGTTACAACGCACTTTGAAAAATTACGCACTTTGAAAAAAAAATTCAAAGTGCGTTAATTTTGGGACCACGTTAACGCACTTTGAAAAATTTTATTTTTTTTTCAAAGTGCGTTAATATCGACCATATTAACGCACTTTGAAAAAAAAAAGTGCTCAGCTTGGTCAATATTCTTGCAAATTTTTGGTATGATAAATAATTATTTGAACCTGGTTTAATACTTTTTCAGTGATGATGTCACTTCAGGATCTGAGATATACACGTTTTAAAGATTTTTAGGGGTTGTTTTCTTTCGAACAGTTCTCGTAAATTTTATAAAAGGGAAATTGGTCTTTAAGAAATGATTGTTTAATAGCATAATTTCTTTCCTTTTTTATTTTAATTCAGTCTGTAATAAGTTCGGTGGATGTGACTTAAATGGAAAAAGGAGCAATTATGATTTTTCTCTACCATTAAAATTCTCTCTCTCTCTCTCTCTCTCTCTCTCTCTCTCTCTCTCTCTATATATATATATATATATATATATATATATATATATAATTATATATATATATGCTGCCTTGATTTATAGAATATGCTTTTTAGAAAGAATACACCGCTCTGCGGTTCTAGTCAAATGAGTATTGTGGCTAATCTTTAATTTTATTACTATCAAATTAATCAGTCTATGTTCATATTGAATATGATAGCGATCTCGATGCAAATTACGTCACTTCCGTTTCGCACAGGAAAAACTAACA